CGTGTGTGTGTGTATATATATATATATATATATATATATATATATATATATATATATATATATTACATTACACACCTTGCTACGTGTACTGCGTTAGGCTAACCGAGACTTGTCATTTGCACTTATATATCATTGCTCTTTTGTTAGTTTTGACTGCTTTTATTGTCCTCATCTGTAAGTAAAAATTTTAATACTATTTTTAAGAAATGTTCAATTGCAAAATATTTGTATTTTAATCACAATGTAAAACAATGAAGTTGCATTTTGAAATATTTTATCTAATCTAGGGCTGTAACTAATGAATATTTTGGTAATCAATTCATCTACTGATTATTTTAACAATTGAGTAATCTGATATTTTAGTAACACAAATAGACCTTAGTGAAAACCAGGCTTAAACCAGGCTTTAGTATGACTATTTATATAAACTAACGATGAGGCAATAATAATTGACCCAAATAAAATATCAAAACCAAGTAATTACATGGTTTAATGAACTGTTAAAATACATAATGCAATATGCCTATGCATAATGTGAACATAACCAACTTTGTAAACGCTTGGTATTGTAACAAATACCTGCAGAGGGTGCCAACGGCCTGGTGACGTTTCACTTTACAACGTGATTAAACTACATTTAAATCAATTCATTTTTAATGTTTAGCCACATACAAACGCAGAAACTTTTATTTTGAAATCGCGATGTACAATAATTGGCATATTTAGAAATAGGTTCATGTATTTTCCTGTGTTGGCAAAGGTTTGTAAATGATTTACGTTATACATCTAGTGCGATAATGCACACTGTTTTCCCAGATGAACGTTAAGTAATTCAAATTCACAGCATATGCAGAGGAAGAGTTTAGCCCCTTTCGCACATACAGTCTTTAATGGTAAATTACCGGTAAGTTACCAAGAGATCATGTGTGAACAGGACCTTTTCAAAAATCCCGGTAAATTTGTTCTGGCAATCCTATCACTCTTATGGAGATGATGTGATTATTCTGAGCGTTTACAAAGCTCCGCTGTTTTTTAATGAGCCTTTTCTATGTAAATATGCGCTAGATGGACCTTTGGATCTAGCTTGGATCTTTGACTATTGCGCCTCGCAGCTTTTTGTCGCGCTTCTCCATTCATCAGGGCTGCGACTCTGCAATTGGATACTATTATGCATGTCTCGTGTTTATAAGTCAAGTTTATTTGTACAGCGCTTTTCACGATACAAATCATTGCAAAGCAACTTTACAGCAAATTAAGTTTCTACAATAGCTCTTACATTTATAAGAGCAAAAAAATCTGATTGGCTAGTAATGTTAGTTTGGTTGAGAGTGAAAGCTGTGCTCCACTCATACCATTGTTAGGCAAACTCATGGACTCGAAAGTGAAGTTTAAAAAAAAAATTGTTTTTATTTAATGTAAGGCTATTTTTTCCGCATCCAAACGCTGCACGGTGACGGAGAACTTTAAGCCCTGTCAATGGGATTTAACGAATCATTTATCTCATATAGAATATGCGTCATTATTTATACAACATAACATTACTATTATGACTTATAGGCTATCTACACAAAATGCCCTGACAATGAAACGCTTTACTGCAGCGCAACTCAACCAAATGCATCTTATACGAGATAAGTAATATATACACGATATATATAAGTCGTCTGAAATGTTTTGAAATCACTTGTACCCTACCTGATCGAAAAAAATCCAGTCTTTTATTCTGCCTGTGTCAATTAGAGTCTTGTTAAAGTTTTAAATCCCTGCCGCCAAGATGCTACTCTGTTGGTCAAGGATTATGGAAAGTGAAACTTAAATTTATAAGGGTTGTTGGATTTATTCACGCACATTAAAATATTTATTTGAAGCTTCTTTCTTTTCAGATTCTTATTTACAGCATTATCTTAATAGGCTGTATATTAACTAATTGGGAGAAAACCAGTAGTTCTATGTGAAATCAGACATTTGAGCTCCCCCATATAGCCAAAATGGCATGATCGTAACACCCTGTGAATATTCGACTGTGAGATTGGTATTCGAATCAGGCTCCTCCTATCGAAGCTTTGAATCTTCGACTATTCGGGGTAACCCCTAATTATTAGTTACGTTGCCCTTTCTGATCTTATCACAGACCATTCTCCCCTGAGTCCTAAAGTCACACTACCACAGAAATATGGTAGAACCATTACTTCTACAACAAAGACTGCTAGATCTGCTTAATTTTCATCTCTTTTAGAAGAAAACAAACACCACACCAGTGGCCTGTAGCACAAAGCGAGATGAACAAACTCAGAGTTGCAGAGTAAGTTTTCAGTTGACAAAACCCGATAAAGCCAAGCGGGTACCTGTACCATGAAGCCGGTTTAGCTGGCTAGCCAGGTAAGTTTCAGTTTAGTTTGTGCCATCTCTGGGTTTTAGGTACCATGAAAGTGGTTTGGCTTTTAGCAGTGTTCATCCCCATAGTAACTTCTGCTCCACAGTTAACATGCTCCAGGGCAGGTTATGTTCTGGTTTAGAGATCTCAAACCGAAATCTGACCAATCAGCTTCAAGCAAAGTTACACATATCTGACAAAATAAAGCCACTCCTCCAGTTTCTCTTACTCCAAATTAAAGGACGCTACATAGTAAAACATTTTTAAAGATAAAATCATCTTAAATTTAGAGATTATTATTTTTTATTATTAAAAAATGACAATGAACTTGACATTGGCAGGCGGCAGCCTATGACATAAACGTATGAAAAGAGCACCTGCGGAATACGTCATCCTCTTCTTTGTCTTCAGAGCCTTGTGTACGGAATATTGTTAATTTTGTCAGCTATTTTCAATTTAGTCTTAGTCCCGGGCTAAAATGTCCTTGTTGGTTTTAATTTATATTTAGTAAACCTTATCCTATTTAGTTTTAGTCAAATTTTAGTCTACTAAAATTCTCAACATTTTAGTCTAGTTTTAGTCAATGAAAACTGGACATTTTAGCAATAAGATTATTATTAATTAACCGTACAGCAGTATTAATTTTGGCAGCCATTTTTATCTTAGTCTTACTCAAATGTACATTTTAATTATCATATTTAGACAAACTTGTCCTGTTTTTGTTTATTCAATTAAATGTATGAGCTTTTTAGTCAATTACAAAGTAAATCACATTTTCATCATTCTGTATAATGGTTAAAATATTTTTTTCTCAAAATTATAATCGTAATGATTGTTGTCATTTGAGAAATTTACTTTTGCATTTCAGGTGTTGCACTTTCTTTAGAAATCATATTTAGACCATTTTACATCAGTTGTTTCACAAAATAGGTCTTGCCACTATTGGATGACCCACTTATCACACAAGAAAAAGGGTGCTGGAGTCTAAAGTCAAACTCAGAAGCATCCCGAACCCTTCTATGCATAATCAAATCAGTAGCCATAAGGAAGAGTGTTGAAATCGGGTACAAGTCTGCGCTTATTATACACCACTTTGAACCTTTTCTCGACTGACTTGTTGTGCAACGTGAGATGCTTTTTATCCCTCACAATGTTTTCAGCATGAGCCAGGATGTATTGTGTATCGTCGTGAGACGTCACATAGCCATTAACCAGACCAATTAGGGAATCTAAGTGGATAGCTTGGGAATTTCTAGTCAAGTCAAGTCACCTTTATTTATATAGCGCTTTTAACAATACAGATTGTGACAAAGCAACTGAACAGCATTAATTAGGAAAATAGTGTCAATAATGCAAAATGACAATAGTAAACACTCATTTTTCAGTTAAAGACAGTTCATCATTGAATTCAGTGATGTCAACATCCAGCTTAGTTCAGTTTAAATAATATCTTTGCAATCATGTCAACGATATCGCTGGAAATGAAGTGTCCCCAACTAAGCAAGCCAGAGGTGACAGCGGCAAGGAACCAAAACTCCATCGGTGACAGAATGGAGAAAAAACCTTGGGAGAAACCAGGCTCAGTCGGGGGGCCAGTTCTCCTCTGACCAGACGAACCAGCAGAACGGAAAAATCAATATAAGACGTAATAAAACAGACGATGAATAATATTAACAGCAATTATTATATGATGCAATCAAACTTGTAGCAAAATGTGGTAGTTCTGTATGTTGTTTCAGGGTTGGCATCATCTGAGGTCCTCTGAGGGGTTGCATCATCTCTTCTCAGGTGTTCTGGATCCAGACTGAAGCTTGTGTAAATCCTAGTTACCACGGGATGTTAATCCCGTGGCAAAAGACAGAGAAACAAATACAAACATAATTAGCGTAGCTGCTGTTCCAACCAAGCAAAAATGATTTGTTTAACCCAAACTAATGAATAATAATGTGCATTTGATTAGATATAACTGCAGTAAAAGATTATGACTGCAGTAAAAGATTATGAGATGCATTATTTGAATGCTTGGCCAAAGAGATGTGTCTTTAATCTAGATTTAAACAGAGAGAGTGTGTCTGAACCCCGAACGGTATCAGGAAGGCTATTCCAGAGTTTGGGAGCCAAATGTGAAAAAGCTCTACCTCCTTTAGTGGACTTTGCTATCCTAGGTACTATCAAAAGTCCAGAGTTTTGCGACCTTAGGGAGCGTGATGGATTGTAGCGTGGTAGAAGACTAGTTAGGTACGCAGGAGCTAACCCATTAAGGGCCTTATAGGCAAGTAATAATATTTTGTAACTGATACGGAACTTAACAGGTAGCCAGTGCAGAGACTGTAAAATTGGGGTAATATGATCATATTTTCTTGACCTGGTAAGGACTCTAGCCGCTGCATTTTGGACTGCCTGTAGCTTGTTTATTGAAGATGCAGGACAACCAGCTAGCAGTGCATTACAGTAGTCCAGTCTAGAGGTCATGAATGGATGAACTAGCTTTTCTGCATTAGAAACAGGTATCATGTTTCGTAACTTTGCAATGTTTCTAAGATGGAAGAATGCCGTTTTTGTAACATGGGAAATATGATTTTCAAAAGACAAGTTGCTATCTAATATAACACCCAGATTTTTGACTGTAGAGGAAGTAACCGTGCATCCGTCTAGTTGTAAATTGTAATCCACGAGATTCGGCGTGCTGTCTTTTGGTCCAATAAGTAATATCTCTGTCTTATCTGAATTTAATAGGAGAAAATTATTGGTCATCCATTCTTTTACATTTTTAACACACTCCGTTAGCTTAGATAATTTAGAAGTTTCATCTGGTCTTGTTGAGATATATAGTTGAGTATCATCGGCATAACCGTGGAAACTAATCCCGTATTTCCTAATAATATTACCAAGTGGCAACATGTATATCGAAAATAGCAGAGGACCTAGGACAGATCCTTGTGGCACTCCATATTTTACTGGTGATAATTGAGATGACTCCCCATTTAAATGAACAATGTGGTAGCGATCGGACAGGTAGGATCTAAGCCTGCCCTTGGATACCTGTATAGTTTTGTAATCGATCTATGTATGTCATGATCTATAGTGTCGAACGCAGCACTAAGATCAAGTAAAACTAGCAATGAGACACAGCCTTGGTCTGACGCAAGAAGCAAGTCATTAGTAATTTTAACAAGTGCAGTTTCTGTGTAAAGTGTAATGTAAAGTGAACGGACATCTGCATATGATCGGAACTCCATGCAGCTCCCGCGTTACTCTCCATTGGAAATGAATGACTGAATGACCGGTCTGTCGCTTGTCGGAGATAGTGGAAAGCCGGCTTGAAACGCAGTGGAAACGCCAGTATGACGAGGATCGTTTTCATTTTAAAAGATAAACGCACCAGTGTAAATGTAACCTTACATCAATGGGGGCTGGGACGCATTCATACTACAGCCTCACATGTGCGCCACATCACTGAGTGTAACCGGTGTAAACTAGTAGGTGTGTTCGACTTGACGCGGACCGACTGTGCAGACCGGTCGGTGTATTACAGTACCACGAGAGAGCAGACTGCTCTGTGCGCTTTCAAATCGCTCTCGCGGATGTCAAACACTGATCGATCTGTCGTGTGTTGCAGGCTTATTGGCTCACTAACGCTGATGAGATTAACCCCTTAGGTATCGAAATTTGGTACCGAACGACGAGATGTTTTTCGATACTCTATGGTATCGAGGCAATTTGGCCGGTGCCTAAAAAGTATCGAACTCAATACCCAGCCCTAAGCATGATGTAATATTCATAGGCACAACATTACATCCTATTAACTCAATCTTGAGGATTATTAGAGCAGTATATGGGTTAAATTGGAAACAAACCCTTGTGTTCCCTGTTTTGTTTGGCAGGATCCGTTGGCTAATCTGTCTGATGAGATGATTGCTCGCACATATAATGTTTTCTCCATCATCCTCAAATATGCTGTGGACATGCTCACCTGGGAAAAAGAGGACGAGCTACCTGAAGGCCTTGAGCCACCGTAAGACACATTAGCACTCATACCAGGTCTCTTAACCCTCTTTAGCGTTTCGAAGAAAAGTCACATATTGACCAGGAACAGTAAGAGTGTAACTTTATTTTTTATGAAATGACGTCAAACTGATTTCTCGGAAGTACTAACATGAAATTACTTCTGTTGGGATTTTAGATCATGTAGCTCTTTAGATTTTATTTGTGTACACTTTTTTTAATTTTTCTTTTTTAAGATTATTTGTATAAGCAAATACACACATATTTGGAACTAAACTGTACACTTCTTTGAGTTGAAACAAAGAACATTTATGAATTTATCATTTATTTTGGCCAGATTACTGCCATCTGTCAAAAAAAGAAAAGAAAAAAAATGACACTAATTGCCAGTAGATGGTTGATGTTTTCTATGCATCCAAATGCTGCACAATAATTCTAGATGTTATGCTTTGAAAATGTCTATTATCTAACTATCACTTGTCAAAGTTAATTTTGAAGTGTAATTTTTGCAGTAATGCTTACTGTCATAGACATACATTCATTTTGCTCTCTCTCTCTGTGTGTGTGTGTGTGTGTGTGTGTCTTACCGCTTTATATCTGTGTCTTTTTTTTATCAACATTGTAGCTGATATATAGATTTTAATCTATAAAAATGGCTCTTTTCCATTCACTTCCTGTGGTCAGTCAGTTTTGTCAGCCAATGTGTCACTTTTTTTTATGGCCATTTAGGATCAATCTAAGTCCTTTTTTTATTTGTTCAGATTGCATATCTAATAAAGTCACCAAGTTTTCCAACATTCAGATTGTGAATTATTTTAAACAACAAAACAAAATCAGTCAAAAATGACTGAGGAGCTTATTGGTGTTAAATCCTTAATATCCCTAATCGGAAGATATGTTTTTGGGGGGGTATGTTTTATGATTGCTTTTTATTACTGCATGTTAGTATATTGGGAGAAATGTAACTTGCTTATTTTGTTCTCAAGGGAGCGTGGAGACACGTACTACTGCATGCTGTTCAATGATGAGGTCCACACGTACGAGCAGGTCATCTATACACTACAGAAAGCCGTGAACTGCACTCAGAAAGAGGCCGTCAGTTTCGCCACCACTGTGGACAGAGATGTAAGTTCACCTGCTGTTAGTTCTACAGTTATTTCAGCCTCAGACGTCACGCCCACGGACCGCTGGCTGAACGTCTGATGCGTATGGCACACAAAAGTGGAAACACTTCAGGAGTTTCGAAGTCGTCATCGGATTGGGTAAATTTTCCAGGATTTCTAGGAGACGTGTGTGTCACGTTCTTTAACGTTCCGCCTGGAAACAGATGCCGTGACACCAAACCCCCTCACGAAAGAAGAAAGCCTTCTCGTTCACAACTGCGAGCGCTTATCAGGATAAATGTACGCTGGATTTTCAAAAGTATGTGAAATAGTGCTGTCAAATGATTAATCGCAATTAATCGCATCCAAAATAAAAGTTTGTTTACATTATATATGTATGTGTACTGTGTATATTTATGTATTTATAAATACACACACATACAGTATATATTTATAATTTTTTTTATACATTTATATATTCATATTCTTATATTTTATATTATATAT